GTTTAAGAAAATATCGACCAATCACAGCGCGCCGCGCTATAGAACTTTCTGGAAATTTAAATTAACTGCGTAATAGTTTTAAGCAAAAAATTAATGAGAATAATTTTATGTCTGAAAAGAGTTGTAAATATGGTATTTAGTTAGCATATGATGTATAGATCGTTATAATAAAGAAATATTTTGTATAATTAAGCACGATTTAAAAGTTATAGGATAATTAAAGAATTAATATGACCAATTAGTGTAAAAGTTTAGGACATTTCAATGAATAACTTTGTTAAATGTAAATATATTAATTATCCTTTATCGCATACTAATGTAGAACAAAAATGTCTATTTAATGATGTATAGCATGTTAGAGTTAAGATTTGTATTATATAGAAAAGTTGCAATTTGTGCCATTTGCATAAAGAAAAATGATTGAAAATAAAGAGGCAAATGGGAATTGGCAAGCGGCTCTCTATAGAGTATAGCCGAAGTCTACCTTATGGGGGCAAATCACAGTAACATTGTAGTAGGAAGAACTACCAGTAACAAGCAGCAGTATCCGGTTGTAGCTGAAGTGACTAGTAGCAGAACACAGTGAAAAGTTAAAGTGAAATAGAAAAGTTTAGCTAGCCGAAAAAGGTCGTAACTGAAAAATCGCAGTTACACATAGTCGGAAAAAGTGGCAACTGAAAATTCTCAGTTGCACATAGAAAAATAGTGTCAGCTAGCCAAAATAGTGGTAACTGATATTCGCAGTTACATATAGTGAAAAAGTGTTGGCTAGCTGAAAAAAGTGGTAACGGAAATTTCGCCGTTACATTTCGTGAAAAGTGTTAGCTAGACGGAAAAAGTGGTAACTGATATTCGCAGTTACAAAAGTGTTTAAATTCAACTAATTTTAGTTGATTAATAGCTGCTAGTCAGTAGTGTTAGAAAACCAGCTGCTACCAATAGAAATTTTGGATACTACCAATAGAAATTTGTTACTTTCAATAGATATTTAAAATTACCAATAGAAATTGTAGAGAATACCAATAGAAACTTGTTACTGCCAATAGAAATTTGATATTACCAACAGATATTTTAAAAATACGAATAGAAATTTTAGAAAACCAATAGAAATTTTAATATTACTGTGTGTTTAATTAAATCTGTGTTTTAAAATATATAGTGAACAATCATAGTTGAAAAATAGTGATAAATAAATAACAGTGTAAAATCTCGCGACAAATTAATTAGTCGATCCGCTGGCCACTCCCTTGCTATTTTAATTTACAAATCGTGCATTTTAATTTTGAACCTCAGTCCACAGTTTATCCGCAGCAACCAAAGAGACGGCAGTGAAAGACGGTAGTTGGAGGAGTCTGGAACCTACAGGTGTAGGACGTGAGCGACTCGCGGGGTATCTCCGACAACATTTACTCCGGAGAGTTACGCCCGTCCGGCACACTATCTTTCCTTTTGGTATAAAATCCTAAAAGAAGTTAGCCAGACACAAAAGCTAATACTAAATGATAAAATATATAAATATAATAAAATCTAGATTATCACTGGAAACGTATGAGATAAAAATCAAAGCCCAAATTTTTTTTCATAGCCAACGTATTCAACTATTGGAAAAAGCTATTTCCTACGTAACAAAAAATGTGAGAATGTGGATATTTCGATTGAATGAAGAAGAGGAATGAGGAGATTTCGAAAACATTTACCAAGATAAATGACCCGATATGCTGGACCAACATTACCAAAGGAGCTGCAGAGAGCTATGTTAGAATGTCTTGACATATTTTACGAGTAACTAGACCATCGCTACAGAGCAATGGATGATCTTCTCGTAACATTTACTGTTGTTCAGCCTCACACTCTGCTGCACCAGATGAAGATATTCATGTAATAATTCAAAATCTGACAAAAATCTACGATGAATTTTCCACAGGATATATAATTTTGGAGATTTTACGACTTGAAAGCAGTGCTGGTAGACTTCATTTCCCCAAATTTTATTTCTTAGACATATTAACGATGTCATTCTGCACCGCAGGTGGAAAATCAGTACATCCTATAAGTCCATTGCTGAACCAAGGCCTTGCTCATAGATTGTCTCACAGGGGAGATATTTGCCATAGTTGACAGCCTAGGGTTAGTAACTGCAATTCTTTTCTAAGTTGTTAATAGGAAGACACTGCTGCTCAGCTCCTGGCTATTTCCCTATGTTGCCTCTTACAATGACAGAGGACGACATGAGGTAATGGACAATCTTACATCGCCACTACACGGTAGCACGTGCTAAATAAGTAGATACTTATAATCGATGTTAACAATTCTATCGGTAATATAAATTTTACGATGAGGTTTTATGTGTTGCGGATAAGGATATCCACTACCCCATATCTTCTTGTGGGTGTCGTAAGAGACGACAGAGAGCAACTGAGGCAGAAGATGGGCAGCAGCATCATTCTAGTTCCAGCAAAATAACTATAAAAAAAGACCCGCTCGCTAAGCGTTTCAACTATCGCCTTGGCGAGAGATACAAAAAGACGCCGCCCAGTCCCCGGCGGCCCCGCTATTCCTGGCTACAGTGGTGACCATAGTAACAGAGGGGCAGGGGATCCTAAGATTCTCCAGTAGTTTAGTTACCACCTAAGACGACTCGACCTGGCAACATATAACACACGCACCCTGAGGACTGACGAGAAGATCCTGGAGCTGGAAGAAGATATGGACAAGTTGCGCTAGACTATTATAGGATTATCCGTGGTCCGAAGAAAGGGGGTGGACACGGTAATCCTCAAATCCGGCAACTTGTTCTATCACCGGGAGGGCGACCATCTGTCCCAAGAAGGTGTCGGATTTATCGTCCACAAGTCTCCAGTTAACAAAGTTGCAAAGATTGGGAGGGTGTCGATGAGGGTTGCGTACCTACCTTATATTATACAGAATCACCAAACGGTATTCGCTTGAAGGTCGGACATGTTTACGCACCAACCTCGACACATCCCGATGAGGAGGTGGAGGAAATATATGACGATATCTATAGAGCCACTCATTCCCCCAAAACTCACTATACGGTGTTAATGGGAGACTTTAACGCAAAACTAAGCACAATAGACCGATGAGCTGAAGGTAGGGAAATTCGGGATAGGGCAACTGAACCCAAGGTACCACCAGCTGGCCGACTTCATGGAGAAAGACGGACTCTTTATTATAAACTCTATCTTTCAGAAGCGGCCCCACAGAAAGATCTGGTCGAGATCCGACGGTTCGCCAAAAAATGAGATTGACTTCATTATGACGACTAGACGGCAACTGTTCAGTGATGTCTCAATGATCGCGAGGGGGAAAATTGGCAGCGAACACCGAATGGTGAGAGGCACACTGAACCTAAACGTTAAATTGGAGAGGTCACGTTTAATGAAGGCAACGATCCGTCTCGCTCGTGATCTAATCCAAAGCCCCGAAAACATGGACAAAACAAAGATCATGTGTAACGTTCATGTCACACCTATGCCGGTAGTTGTTGGGAGCACTAAGCACGAAGTTATTGACGAGTATGTTTACCTGGGACAAATAGTCCGTACTAGGTAAGTCCAAATTCGACCAAGAGGTCAATCGATGGATTCAACTCGGCTGGGCAGCGTTAGGGAGATTACGGCACATCTTATCATTAGATATACTTGAAAACGAGATTGTAACACCATGCGTGTTGCCAGTGATAACTTATGGATCTGAGACGTGGTGCATCACTGCTGGCCGGATGAGGATGCTCCTAGTCACTTAGCGGGCTATGGAGAGGACTATGCTCGGGGTTTCTCTGCGTGATAGATTTAGTATATATATCTCTATAAAACCAGATAGATAGATATAGATATCTCTGTAGAACCAGAGTAACCGACAAAGCCCAACTGATTACTAAGCTGAAGTGGCAATCGGTCGGCCATATAGCTCGAAGAAGCGACAACCGATGGGGAAGCAAGGTTCTCGAGTGGCAGCCTCATACGAAACGACGTACGGTGTACGTCGAAGTATTGGCCGGTCCTCATAGATAGTGACGACCTGGTAAGACGTACAGGAAGTCGACGGATGCAGGTGGGTCAGGACCATGCTTTGTAGCATTCTTTGGTGAAGGCCTATGTTCAGCAGTTGACTTGTGAAGGGCTGTAATGATATTGATGACGATGATGATGAGACTAAGCACTAAGCAACTTGTGAGACTCCACGGTTACTTTTTAGCAGACTTGCGTGATTGTGATTTACAATTCGACTATTTCAGTATGTTTGTTACCTGCGCGATAGATATCTTTGTCAATTGAGACCCAATTTTGAATTTATCATATATAAATTTGGAGGAAAAAAAGCCTTACGAGTGGCAAAATCCCCTATTTTGAATGTTTTAATTAACTTTTAATATTATATGAACATTTTAATGTAAATATTAAGGCGACATTGAGATTGTGATATTGCTTAGTCCACTCAAAAGGGTAAAAAAACTTTGATCAAATAGCGAAAGCCATGAAAATGATTTCACATTCTGAGGTCTCTTCTTAGCCATAGTGTATTATTATTATTATAACTTTTTCATAAAAAATATTTTTGAAGTGGAAACTTTTTAGCAGCGGCAGCAGTGAAGCGATTTTTAGCAGGGGTAATTTTTTGTAGGGATTTTTGATTTGGTAAATCTTACAGGTTCGCGTCACCGATGACGTCACATGCTCGTGATGTTTGCACTTGCACCAGACTAGCGACGCGTAGTATAGCGGCCTGTGTACATGTATACCATTGTGTTTTCACTTCTGTCGGCAGTCCTTATGACTGTCTCGTTTTTTTTAGTTACAGTAGTTAATTAAAATAAAAATTCAAATATTTTTTATTATCACCTATATTTCGTTAAATACATTAATTTAATATATCGATGGAAATGCGCCTTTAAAAATATTTAACATTTTCAACAATGGCAGCACTATTCAAAATGGCGGTATCCACTGTATACTTATGACTATTACTTTCTCCACAGCCTACTTCTTTCCGGCAACCATTTCTTCGAGCGCCTTTATCTCAGCTGAAAAGGACAAATTATATTGAATATTGTAATTATTTTGTTACGGTTGTTATCAGGAAAATTATTTTCCTTCCGTCGCTTCTTACGACACCAAGGAGATGTTATGATGGTATGGGTAGTGGATATTTTTACTCCGCCACTAGACAGCGACGCAAGCATTGGCAATAAATATAATAAAACACTGTAATGTTGGAAGGTGTCCTGGCAGGGTCGCCATGTAATGTTGGAAAGGTGTTAAATGAAAAGAAAGTCGTGTTACACTTTCTATGACATTAATTATAGCTTAGTCTAGCTTATTCTATACTTGATACTAACATAATAATATTGTCGGGGTGCTGCACGATACTACCACACAATCAGAAAGATATCTAATAAATTAATCCTTTTTTTAGAAATGAACCTTGGTTTCAAACCAAGATTCATTTCTAAAAAAAAGGTTTCATGACATGAATTCTGCCAACTCGGCAGAGAGGCGAATATTCACCGTGGGTGACTTTTGCCTGACTACTTGACTGTATTGCCACTAAAATATGGATATATTATGTTAAAATTGGAATATTTAAATATCGCATTTTTTACGGAAGCACGCTTCAAGAAGTAGCCAATCTCTGAAACGGAGAGCACGAGGGAACTGTGACAGTAAATATCTGGCCGCCGTGCTCCAACACGTCAAGCAAGTTTTGTACGACAATAAGCTTCGGGCCCCGCGCCTACGTCACAGTGAACGAGTGAAGCCGGCCACAGTCGAGCGAGTGCCTGCTGTACTGCCATAGAAGCCGCCGAAGAAGATTAGTCAGTTTTTACGATCAGTCAAGTGTAATGTTCCTTTGCAAGATGCAGGAGTGTAGAAGCTTGATTGTGAATGTGGTCTCTCTTATATGGGACAAACTAAAAGATCCATAAAAACCCGTGTTAAAGAACTATATATATATAGCTGATGTGAAGAATCGACGCTCCGGGAAGTCTGCAGTCAGTGAACACGTTAGGATCGCCCCCGTCACTACATTAGATTTGATAGACCACAAATCCTCGCTAAAGAACACAGATTCCTTCCAAGGATGATTCGCGGGGCTATTGAAATCAAAAAACATACTAATTTCAATAGAGAAGATGGCTGGGTGTTACCATCTGCTTGGGATCCCATAATTAATAAAATTAAATCCCAACCCAAGCATACAACAGCAAGACCTCAAGATACTGCGTAGATCGGAACAAAAATTAATAATTTTTAATGGAGGTAGCCGTCATACACCACATTCCACCCACCCCCCCCGTGCCATGGGTGCTGTAAAGTACTCGAAACGACGGGAATATAAAATAAGTTAATATACGCGATAAAATCCGTAAAATTAGTTTTATTTAAACACAAAGTTATGTAAGAATTAAATTATTGCCTGTTATTAGACACGGTAGTGCTCGCACTACTGATTACCTACTATTGCCTGAACCTACCTTGTTTGTTGTTGGAGTGTGGAAGCACAGCCTAAGAAGAACATACTCAGCCATCGCGTTTGATGTTGTCGGAAAAGCCGACATAAACAATAAATTGCTAGGGTCAGAACGGAAAGTGATAAAAAAATAATAAACTGATTTTATTATATTTCACGTTTAAACAAACCAATGTGTATGTGAAAACTGATGATACTAATCCCTTATCTTTAAATGAGGACGACCCACAGTTTTTTACCGCACATGACCATTTTAATTTATTTGTGAGACGGCTAAGGGCCGCTCGGGAAGTGCTTAGCCCGCGTCTCGCCCCGCATCGCACCGCATAATTGCCCAGTTTAGACGCCTTCGATGACCGAGACCGACTGTCAGTAGTGATGGAGGTTTGTATCCTAACACCATGCTTCTAGAAAATATTTATCTTATGTAGTATGTGTGATTTTTGGTATGCATATTACGTCGCGGCACATAAGTCTAGCGCTGAACGAAACGAATTGAATTGCACGAATGCGACTGGAGAGCCAATCAGCGCGACTTATGCGCAATAACAGTCACCGCTAGACTTTCGTGCCGCCACTTATACTTTTACATAACATAAAAATGAATGTATGAGTATGATTGTGTTGAATTTTCAAATTCGTTAATTTATTAGATATCTTTCAGTGATTTGTACTCTGTTTCTGAATTCAAATTATTGCGAGACTACTGTTCTTCTTATACCTATTTTATGTGCAGTGTGCTCGTTTGTAATCCTTATCCTATAAAAACAATATTACTTAAACTTTTACCCCTGACACCCAGAGGGGTAGGCAGGGACTAGGAGCTTCCATATGGCACGATCCTGACACCCTTCTTTTGTCTCCTTCACATCCATATATCTTCGCATACATCCTTGTAAGCTAAGTTACATTTTTTATAGAATAAGGGGGACAAACGAGCACACAGTCCACCTGATGTTAAGTGGTTGCTGTGGCCCATAGACACCTACATCTATCTTCGTTTGCGAATTAAAATGCAGATGCATTGTCAGCCTCTTTTCTAGTAAAATAGGTCTCCGGTTCTCTACACTCCCCATACCAGCGTAAAATAGCAGCATTAAGCTGCTATTTTACGCTGGTATTGTGAGAATATATAATTCCCCGATCGAGCCGACCCCTTCGTGCTACAACTATAATATTAATATAGCTGCAGCATGGCTCTACCACGTAAAATGACACATCTAAAATATATCCCAATTTGGTTGATAAGTTGCGAACTAGGGCGTCCCTTGCCGACTGCCACTCACTCCTGCAGCATAAATTTGTTTTGATTTTACAGTTTGCTCATTTATTCATTCTACGTTTCCAAACGGCCGTAGTATCCTTGTCATAACATCTTGCAAACTGTACTTTCCTCTTTTCACATTATTTCACCATGTCCAGCCTTTAATTGCTATTTGTGTGTCTTTTATTGGTATTAAGAAAGAAAAAAAAGGGAGTCTACTATGCTTGTAAAATACTTACTTACTTATCTTCACGCACAATCCCTGACGGAGTAGCCAGAGAGAACAGATCGCCAAGTGTCACGATCCTTACATACCTCTTTCGCTTCTTTCAGATTCATTATCTTCTTCATACATGCACGTCTAGGTATCCGAGTACTCTTGACCCTCCCCTCTTCGAGCAATTTGCTTACATGGTCTTCGAAAGTTAGTCTCGGTCTACCTCGACACCTTTTAATATTTACTTTCGCGCTATATATTTTCTTCACCATTCGGTCTTCACTCATTCGCTCAACGTGCCCAAACCATCGAAGCACGCCATATTGCGAATCTCTTCGTTTCGCTTTCGGTCGGCCATGGTAACGCCGCACATTTTAAGAAGAGATCGCATCTCCACTGCATTCAACTTGCTTTTATGCTTCTTCTGGCATACCCAGGTTTCGCTGCCATATAACAAAGTCGGTACCAACACTGCGTTATGTATTGCAAGGCGTGCACTCTTCACTACGCCTTGCCTTTTGACTAACGCAGTCAGGGCACCATTGACTTTGTCCCCGGCAGCGACACGCCTGTCCACATCTAAATCACATCTTCCATCCCGGCTAAAAGCACTCCCCAAGTATACAATTTCATTTACTTATTCTAGACATTCCTGATTTACCCATATTTCACACTTCGTCCTCTCTTCGTCCCTTTCAAATACCTTTCAAATACTTGATGCTTGTAAAATAGTTTTAAAATTACACATACCAGCTGCTGCGATAGCTTTCTCCTCCTTGAGCTTCGCATCCCTGATAACCTTTTCCTTGGCTTCAATTTCACGGATCTTAGCCTCCTTCTTGGAGAGCCTGTTTTGGTGGAATGCTCCATATAGGATGCCGGCTGTGAGGAATGACCAACGGCCAAACTGCAAAATTGAAATTAAACACTCTTTACATAAGTATTATATAGTTCCTCTAGTTGACTGTCTTGTTGGCCAAGTGGTTTTAAATGCGACTACTGATCATGAGCTTCCAGGTTGGAATCCCGGGTCGGGCCAAAAAAATCAGTTATTGAGTTTTTCCGTCAAGAAATTCTCACTATTTGCCAGGAGTCAGGAAGTTGGCGGTGTCTAACCCCCATACCTCGGAGAGCACGAGAGCTGTTGGTCCTACGCCTGATCTCTCTCCGGTCGTGTCGGTTTACCGTACCATCAGACTATAAGAGGGAATAGTGATTGTTTGCATACTGCAGCATTTGGGCACTATAATCCTGTTCTGCGTCAATGGCTAGTCTCCGTTGAGGCTGGCTGTCGTGACCGAAATTTTGTCTGGAGGATAATAAATAGTTCCATTTTTTAAATATATGTATGCCGTGCAAATGCGATGCAATTTTTCAATTATCAATCTTCTGTCTCAATGAAAGCTATTTGTATTTTTGAGTATAAAATTATTCTTTCATGATTAGATAGATAGATTGCCTCATATGCAGTAAAAATGCCTCCAGTTTTCTACACTCACCATACGAAACACAGCAGCATTAAGCTGCTATTTTACGCTGGTATTCTGTGAGAGCGTGGTCCTACCCCAGTCAAGCCGAACCATTCGTGCTACACTACCATAATACAACTGCAGTGTTGATCTATCACGTTTGAATGTTTCACCATAGCAGCCCTTTTAGACCAATTTTACCAAATGAGTTGTCAATCAATTCATCTTTATCAAAAGTGAAGGAAAAGAAGAGAAATCTACTTTAATTTACCACCATATATTTATTTGTACATGGTAGAGCCATGCTGCAGCTATATTAGTAGTATAGTTGTAGTACAAATGGGTCGGCTCGACCGGGGAAGGACCACGCTCTCACAGAATACCAGCGTCAAATAGCAGCTTAACACTGCTGTGTTTCATATGGTGAGTGTAGAGAACCGGAGACCCTTTTTACTGGAAATGAGGCATTCCATCTTAGTCCTCATGGGTGGCAACACATCTGCATTTTGATTCGCAAACGAGGATAAATGTAGATGTCTAAGATGGGCCACAGCAGCCACTTACCATCAGGTGGACTGTGTGCTCGTTTGTCACCGTATAGTATAAAAAAAAACCACCACCAACAGATACTGCCTCATTGCATCGAGCACTTCAAATGTTTTATTATTTAATGAAATGAGTCACAAATTTTTCATATAAGATACAAATAACCTACCAAGTGTGAGTTGAACTAGCGCATGTGGTTCCGTACCATCGTAATACACATTTCTAGTAGGAGAGCCCCCTTTAATTTTTAATTTATTTTATTATTTGTTGTAATAGCGGCTACAGAAATACACATTCTGTAAAAACTTCAACTGTCTACCTATTACGGATCATGAGATACAACCCGCTGACTGACAGACAGAAAGACGGATGGACAGACGGAAAGACGGAGGCTTAGAAATAGGGTCCCCTTAGTTACCCTTTGGATACGGAACCCTAAAAATTATAAATGACAAGTTTTCTACTAAAAGCTGTTAAAAATTTAAAACAAGAAATAATGATGTAATTTCTGTAACTATGTCCCAAGAAGGTAGACCTGTGGCTTTATTTTCCAGATCACTGAAAAATTGTGAATGTTAGCGCTGAACTATTGAAAATAAAGCAAAATATGCTATTAGTGTGATATATCTAAAACCGGATCATTTTCTTATAGGGCGAGAATTTTGTTTAATAACCAATCAATATTGACTATCTTTCAGGCATAACATTAAACACAACAGCAAAAAGAAAATGATAAGATACAAGCTCTCTGCCCTAGCTTCAGACAGTTTATTTCTGGATCTCGACAACAACGCCACCTACTGGGTCCAACTGTGAATATAAACCATTCTCCAATCAACTTAATCACACACACAAAATTTCATCAAAATCGAGCCAACCGTTTAAGAGGAATACAGTCACATACACATGGACAGTAGAATTATATAATATAAAATATACATGTATTATACATATAAACTTTCCTCTTAAATCATTCCATCTATTGATGAAAATTAAATCAAAATCCGTTGCGTAGTATAAAAGGTCTAAGCTTACAGACGGCGGGAAGTGACTTTGTTTTATACTATGTACTATTTAATATTATGTAAGAGACAAAGACGACTTAGAATGTTCGTGCTAAAAATCTCGACAACAACGCCATCTACTGGGTCCAACTGTGAATATAAACCATTCTCCAATCAATTTAATCACACACACAAAATTTCATCAAAATCGAGCCAACAGTTTAAGAGGAATACAGTCACATACACATGGACAGTAGAATTATATAATATAAAATATACATGTATTATACATATAAACTTTCCTCTTGAATCATTCCATCTATTGATGAAAATTAAATCAAAATCCGTTGCGTAGTATAAAAGGTCTAAGCTTACAGACGGCGGGAAGTGACTTTGTTTTATACTATGTACTATTTAATATTATGTAAGAGACAAAGACGACTTAGAATGTTCGTGCTAAAATATGTCCTAAAGTATGTGTGTGTATGTATAGTATATTACTATAGACCAGGAAAAAAGAATGTTGCAGTAGATGCACTATAATGTATTTGAACTTCTGCTCAATTTATAAGACCAAGTTGCACAAGTGTACAACTCATAACCATACCATAAAAGTCCACTGCTGAACGTAGGTCTCTAGGTCTCCCTCATAAGTTGCTTCCCTCCATGGGTTGCCTGATATTTTGCCATATTGTCATGCTTGTTAAGCATGTTGGCAATTGCAGTTTTTTAATATTTTGAGTTGTAATTAGGAAGATGCTGCTACCCATCTCCTGTTTCATTTTCCCTCTGTTGCCTCTTACGACACACTCGGGACCATATGAGGTAGTGGATAATCTTACACCGCCACTTCATGGTCCATATAACCCATATGGAAATAAATGGACAAATTGAGTAACCGAATGGAACATTTTGAAAAAAAAATCCATTAGCATTAAAAGCAAAAAATTACAATGGGAGAGAATGCTCGATAAATTTTTACATTCAATCTGGCCATTGCTCTACACTACTATCAAAGTTAAACCTCATGAAAGTATAAAGAAAATGGATGTACTTTGCCAAGATAGCTCATGCCACCAAAGCCACTGTATAAGAAAACACAAACTGCACAAAAGAACTTCAAAATATTCACCACTTATTAATATCAATATACTTGTATGTCCCACTACCTAATGGAGACTGTGTACAACAGACATTTTCCAAACAACTTTTATATGTGGTAGAGTCATGCTGCAGCTATATTAATAGTATAGTTGTAGCATGAATGGGTCAGCTCGACCTGGGAAGGTCCACATTCTCACAGAATACCAGTGTAAAATAGCAACTTAATGCTGATGTGTTTCGTATAGTGAGTGTAGAGAACCAAAAACCTATTTTACTGGAAAAGAGGCATTCTCTTAGTCCTCACGATTTTTTTTATAGGATAAGGGTGACAAACGAGCACACAGTCCACCTGATGGTAAGTGGTTGCTGCGGCCCATAGACATCTACATCTATCCTCTGTTATAAATCAAAATGTAGATACGTTGTCACCCGTGAGGACTAAGATGGAATGCCCCATTTCCAGTAAAAAGGGCCTCCGGCCACCTGCACTCACCAAGCAAAACGCAGAGCTAAACCTCTACTTCACGCTGGTTTTCTGTGAGGTTGTGGTACCACCCCGGTTCGAGCCGGCCCATCCATGCGACAGCAAAAGCTGCCACGAGGCTCTACCACTGTTAAAAATTTAAAATTTAAAAATTTAGCCTTAATATTTATTTAAAGGGTTATGTATGTTTTTCTGGATAGGATTCTGGCTATTAAATTTGCAGAATTTGCAAGAATTCTATTTTATTAAATACTATTTAAAACCATCCTTATATAATATCATTATATGTCTTATACTTGTCTATATTTTAACTTAATAAAATGTTATATCTAGGTTTTGTCTTATTTATCAGGGCTCTGCCTAGATACAACTTTTATAGGGTTTTTTATCATTGTCATTATCATTATCATGATTTAATGTTTCATTGGTTCATCTATAGAAATAAATAAAATGGAAGTGTCTGTTTGTAATATCAAAATAACGGCTTTTAACAAAATGCATATGAAAGTATATACGGAACTTATAACAATAACACAATTGTTAAATTTTTTGTCTGTCCATCTGTTTGTTCTGACTAATCTCCGAAACGGCTGGACCAATTTTGACGGGACTCACTGGCAGATAGCTGATGTTATAAGGAGTAACTTAGCCTACTTTTATTTTGAAATAGAATTAGGGTTGCACGCAAAAAAATTAAAACCCTAAATTACATGCGGGCGAAGTCGCGGGGAACAGCTAGTTTACAAATGAAATGCGTTTAAACCATGTCTAGTAGTTTCTAAATTAGATATTAAATTAAATTAACTATATTACAAACATAGAAAATTGAAAACTTACCCATAGTTACTTCTATTCTAGAAATAATTTATTTTAAATTTGGAATTTGGGGATTTATGTGGCCTATGTTACAGTAGTGTACATATGCAAAAATAAGAAAAGAAAAATCTACGGATGAAGTTAGATTTTTGTTTAGTCTACAAAGAAATAGCCAATTGTACAATACGTAATGATTAAGTTTAAAATATTGAACCAAAAGTGAGTAGCAGAGCACTTGTTACATAATAATAAATTTAATAATTTGTTAATATTTACCCGAATCAAAGGGGACACTCTAACTGGTGGTCCGTAGGGAAGGTCAGACATTTTGTAGTACTTTCTTAGAAAACCTCTTTTTATCCAAAAAGGACTTTTTGAGAAAATCTCTAGAAGTTCTCTACGGAGGTTATAATTTAATGTGACAGTGATAGAGTTACCAGCTGCTACAACCTATGTAGTACTGTAGAATTTAAGAATATTAGTTATTTTGCAATTATTTTTTTTAAAAGACTACGAAAATATATTGTTATCGAAATTAATATTTTTGCATCAGAGAAACTATCCGAAGGACGAAACCAATACCTATTACTATTTATTTAATTATTTTAATATTTTAGTAAATTTATATACTTTTATAATGGCAGCTGGCAAGACTAATTTGTCAGTCATTCAGTGTTTCTATATAGTTTGTGGTCATTCACCAGTCACAGTCACCAATTTGGTTCATTCGTATGTGCCATAGACTTAGTAATTGGTGCCGACCTCAGAACAATAACTAAAGCATAGAAGGAGCCTGTAACAGCTATATATTTATTTATTTATTTAAAACTTCATATACACATGTGGTATATAGGCGGACTTAATGCCTAAGGCATTCTCTACCAGTCTACCTTGGGATGATGCAGAGATATAATGAAGTAGGAGTAATAAAAAGGTAATATTTTAATACTAAACTAAAATAACAAAAAAAATTGTAGCACATCGAAATAAAATACATAAGATATAAATGTTAATAAAAAAATATAATTAAATTAATATAATATATATATAATATATATATATATATATATATTATATATAAAATAAATTATGATAAAAATAATAAGATAATAAAAATGTATATTACTTAAGTACATATTAAAACGTCAGATGTATGTAAACTCATGAAGATATACAATTATAGACATAATCAAATAAAATATATATATTTATATATAAAATGTATATAAACTATAACTATGATGAATCTGCCAATTTATTAGTTAAGTATTCCCGAACCTTCATCTTGAACGCGTAACGATTGCTAGCCGTCCTGATTTCGAGAGGTAGTGCGTTCCAAAGGAGAATAGATTGAATGTGGAAAGAAGAATGAACAAGTCCAGAGCTATGGGAGGGACATAGGAGAAGAAGGTTGTTCGTAGAGCGGAGGTTTCTCTCATGACTAGCGCTAAGCAACTGAAAGTATGGAGATAAGTAAGAACAGGAAGTTGGAGACATCAGGATAGAATAAAGGGTAGTGAGTGCACGCAAACTACGGCGTTGACGAATAGGTAACCATTTTAATTGAGATCGATACGTGGATACATGGTCATACTTTCGAAGATTGAAAATGAATCGAATGCAGTTATTCAGAAGACGATCATATTTATTGAGAAGATCTGCATTCAGGTCGAAATAACACACATCACCATAGTCGATTAGGGGAAAAATTAAGCTTTGCACAAGCATTGCTTTGGTTGCAGATGGCAGAAAATTTTTTAGGCGATAGAGAGAACGCAGGGTACCGGTAACTTTCTGGCTAACGGTCGTTGCTTGGTCTTTCCAACTCAAAGTAGAATCAATTAATAAACCTAGATCCTTCACAGTAGAACACAGTTGGATCTCAGTACTATTAAAAAAGATAGGAGGTAAAGCTACCGTTTTCAATCTATGAATCATCCGACGGCTACCAATTATTATGGCCTGACACTTCGAAGGGTTGACCATTAGGCCAAACCTGTCAGACCAGTTCTTAATATACTCAAGGTCCCTGTTAATTATGTCCACCGCTGTAGAAATATTGTCAATATATATACATCTCTTTTTTTTTCAAAGTATGTCAGAAAAAGATAAATAAAAGTATGTCAATAGGTAAGTATGTACATTCGGCAAACGTCAGTTTGGATACCTTAGTTACCTTTGTGCTACTAATTTAAAAATAAAGATTTACAAAAGTTTTTTTGTCTATGGCTATGTTCATCTTAAATTGTTCGTATAATACACTGGCTTGCACAGAACACTAATACCCTTAGGCGGGCTGGCTTGTCTTTAGGTTGTCTGACTGTGTTAAAATTGAGTTTTCGCTTGGAAATTATAATTTTTCGCAGTGTGAAAGTGTGAATCGAAAAATTATTAAAAAGAACAATGTCATGCATTATAGTGGGATGTAAATCCCATTCCTATAAGAAAGAAAACACTCCGAAAACATTAGCTTACACCGGTACCGGTAAGTCATTGTGTCAACATTTGAAACACAATTTACGAGCATTTTCAATTGATAGAAATTCACGTTTTTTGTCATTTTTACTTTAAAATCGAATAATCTTTTAATAAATTAATAAAATTGAATATTTGTTGTTTAAAATTTTGGCAATAGTGTTGGAAAAATATATGTCTAGTATAAATTATCGATAGTTTACGATTAAATTACAGTTTTCCTACGGACATCAATTTAAGACTAAAATGGATCGACGCTATTGCACGAGTGGAAAAAGCACCACCGTATTTGTTCCAGACATTTTAAAGATGACTGCTTTATAAATTTTGAACACAAATGGCGCAGGTTGAAATTAAATGCTATACCTTCACAACATCTGCGGGATAGCAAACACTGTACAGTAAGATCCTTTTTACAATAAATCTGTTTATTATTTTGATTTGTTTAAAAATTAAATTACTGATTACTCGGTGTTGATATTTGTATGTTGATATTTTGACTGTTGAAATTAAGTATCCCTTAAGTACCCTTAAATTTCAAATTTGTTTATTATTATTTCCCCCATTGTTTATTTCGTTTAATTCATACATTTCCTATGATGCAAAAATAACATAAAATAACTAAATTGTTCTAGAACTATAGCAGCCCTGTATCTACACTGGCGACTGCATCAACATCCAGTGTGTCTGAAAAGAATATTGCATCAACATCCAGTGCAACATCAACCAGCACATCCGATTCTAGTGCAAAATTAACTACTACAGTTAGATTTAGTTCGACATCAAGTCAGCAAGAATTAATTAGTTGTATATCTAAATTAGGATCAGGATTTAGAAAAACTGTAAAAAATTGCCAAACGACGACTGTTGAAAATAAATTGTTTGCGTTAAAAGAGAAGACGTTTAATAAATAAAAATCTGGATTAAAGTTGAGATTAGAAAAATTTTTGAATGAAGAAAAAATAGAAAAAGAAAATTTGCGCATTATAAGGGATTTTAGTGGACTGATGTGAGTAGCGTCGTAAGGCGATGCAGCGCGCTGATTGGTCGGCGACATCGCGTGATCTGCTGCCGGTGTGCGGGGTGCGCGGGGCACTACGGGGTATGAAGGGGCGACGGGGTGGCGGACTCCTTCGCCGTCCGCAACACTCATATTAGATTCAGTGAAAAATAATAATTGAAAAATATCTACAGAAAGAAATGGGAGACGATAAAAGTAAATACTCTTTGGAATTGAAAAAATTCGCAGTCACTTTAAATTATTTATCACCGTAAGCATACGAGTATGTGCGCAATGAATTAATGGTATCAATGTATCCATATCCACGAGGACAAAAGGGATAAGGGTAAGGGTGGGGACGAAGGATACAAGGATTTTCGCCGCCTACAGACCTCCCGGCACCTCTTTTGCCCCCCAAGATAGAAGAACCATCTTAAACGGATCAACACCTGTTATTATCGCTGGAGACCTAAATGCAAAACATCCTGCTTATGGCTCCGCGTTAATAACACCACCAGGGAGAAAGCTGTATGACGACGCCGAGGAGTGGGGGTACGAGGTGCTAGGCCCAGATGAGCCTACCCATATCCCTGCCAAACCTGAACACCAGCCCGATGTCCTAGACATAGTGCAGTATATCTATATCTCTTGCCGTACCCAGTACAGTTGGAAGTGCTGTATGACTTAGACACGCAACACCTCCCTGTGCTGATTACCATCGACACCAGTGCGGATACCGTAGTGCCCAGAAGTCTCCGAATGAAGACCAACTAGACGCGCTTTCGCAGTGCGCTGGAGGACCTCCAACTCTGCGCCTCTATTACCACCCATGAAGATGTGGAGACAGCGGCCCTACATCTTCAAAATACGATAAAAGACCAACTTCAACTCCATTCCCACCCTGTCTCCACGGGGCGCGGGAAGGAGGAACTCCCGCATAAACTGCAAACGCTATTGTCCGAGAAGCGGAAGATGAGGAGGCTCTGGGCACGGACACGATGCCCCCCACGACTAAAAACAAAACTCAACTCCATGACGGAAGAGCTGTCGGAAGCAATGAGGGCATACAGGGGAGAGGCATGGGAGAGGCGATTCGACGAAGCCTCGGAGACACCCGCCTCCCTGCATCTCCTCAACTGGCAGCTCACCAAGGCACCAACACCTGTCTGCCCACTGGTGGACAGCACGGTGAGCAGAATCTACGACCCCCAAAAGAGGGCGCAACTGATGGCACAGCACCTTGAGCAGCAGTTTATACCTAACACCGTAGCAGAGGGGTACGCAGACTATGTAAAAAGTATAGTGGACCGCATACATGAATACCTTTTAAACCCGGCGCCGCCCTTGCGGGGCGACGACTTTATATCACCAGCAGAGGTAAGGCGCACTATCATGCGCCTACCCACCCGTAAAGCGCCGGGATATGACGGCATTACCACCACAGCCATTAAGCAGCCGCCCAGAAGGGTAATAGTAGCACTCACCAGGTTGTATAATGGCATCCTAAGGACTGGCCACTTCCCGACCATCTGGAAGCAGGGCAAAATCATCGGCTGCCGAAGCCGGGAAAAGACAGGAGGTTCCCGGCCAGCTACCGCCCATAACGCTATTGCCGCACATAGCAAAACTTTTCGAAAAACTTACCCTGACTAGGGTTCTTCCACATGTCACCCTGCGAGAAGAGCAATTCGGCTTCCGCAGGGGGCATTCCACCACTTCACAGCTGGCCCGCGTGCTGCACTATCTTGCGGCCGAATATAACTTCAGCCACATCTGTGTGGGGGTCCTTCTCGACATTGAGAAGGCCTACGACAGGGTGTGGCACGCAGGGCTAGTCTACAAATTGATCCAT